GCCGCCGCCGCCGCCCCCAGTTACCATTTTCTTGCTCTCGGTGCCCCGACCGGCCTGGCGCGACATCCTGCCCGGCCCGGTGCGCGTCGGCCCGGACCCGCTCAGCCGACAGCCTCCCTCAGAGCCTAGGGGCAGGGCCTGGCGCGGGGCGTGACGGGAGCTGGAGTCCCCTCGGCCCAGCGCCTCCTCCACCCCGGCGCGGCCGCTCCGCCCGGAGAACTACCGCCCCCACAATGCACCGCTCGCCGCCCTCGGGGCATGCTGGGAACGAGAGGTGAGAGGGAGGGAGACGTACCACTCCCAGCATGCCCTGGGAGAGCAGCGCGTGACTCAACTACAGTTCCCAGCATGCCCTGGGAGAACAGGGCCCAGCAGAGACTACAGCTCCCAGCATGCCCTGGGCGGGCTCAGGTGGAAGGACTACAATCCCCAGCATGCCCAGCGACGGCGAGTCTGGCCTCTAGGTGGTACTTGGGGAGCAGGCTGCTGGAGGCGCAGCTGCATCCCCTGCCATGTGGCCTTGCGAGGTGGGGTGGTGCCTGGCCCAGGCGCTGGAGTGTCGGTTGCAGCGCCAGCCTGGCCAGTTTGGTGCCCTGGGCAGCGCCAGGGGCTGGGCGTGTCTGTCTTGCCGGGCTGGGGTCAGTGCCCCCCGCTAGGTGGGGCAGAACCATCTCCCTGGCATGGGAGTGGAGTGGGGCCTGCTGGCACGCCTGGCCACGACCCCCCTGGAGTGAGGGCACAGGGTCATCCGGCTCTTGGCTGGGATTACACTCCTTTGGGCAGGCCAGCTGGGGAGCTCCCCAGGAGGAGGGTGCAGCTGCCGCCTGTCTGGGTGAGGGGGGCCCCATTGTTCCATGTGAAACTCTGCAGGGTGTGTGTGTCGGGACCCACCCTGAACCCCGGTCCACGTGCCGCTAACTTAACATACAGACACAAAACACTCACAGAGTGAACCAGCTCTGCGGCCTCTCAGGCACTCGTCTCACACAGTCGCTTTCCCGAATGCTACACTAGCAACATGGGACAGTATGTTTATGTTCCTGCTGCTACCAGTGTCATTCCACAGTTACTATTGCAACTGGCTAGAGGCAATTCACAACAAGAGGGCAGTTTGTTTGCAGTTAAATCTGAATTAACATGATTTGGAGTCCTCAAAGTGCAACAACTGTTTTATGTTACTTTATATGTTGTTCTCTAAGTATGTAATTGCTTCCTTGAGACATAGAGCAGTGCAAGTGAGCAAACCTAACTGAAGAGTCCCCCTGGTAGAATAGAGTGGGAGGGGGGAGGATGGTAATTGGAGGAGAGGAGTGAGTGGGTTGGAGGAGCACAGCTATAGGGCGTAAAATCAGAGAGCTGGAGAAGTGAAGGAACAAGTCTAGGGAGAGCGCATTTGGAAGTGGGTTTGGAAACTGACAGGAAATATAAACTTTTCATTTTTGTAGCTGAGTATGTCCTTGTATGGTAGAAGAGTCAGCTCAGGAAAGCTACAGGGGAGAGAAGTGAAAGTGACTACACTGATTCACTTCAACCCAGACCTGCTTCCGGCTGCTAAACATGCAGGCTCACCAAACCTCTCTTCCAATGTCCTTCATTCCTGACCTGCAGCCCTCCTACAATTCCAATCCTAGGACCTTACACAATTCTGCCAATGCACCTTATTCCTGACCTGAAACTCCAATTACTGTTCCAGTCCTGGCTCTCCTTGAGCAGAGACTAGACACATCAGGCCAAGTTCTCTGTTGGATTTGCAGTGTGAACCTTTGACAATAGGCTAGGAACCCACAAACATTTGAACTTGCGACCCCAGCTTTGAATTGGAGTGTGATTTCTCAGAAACAAAAGGCTGGTTTATTCATCTATTTCCTGAAATTGCTTCATAGCCACTGAGTTCAGAAAATAGTATTAACTCCATCACATACCATAGCTAAATAACCAGAGCTCATTGGCTGCAGGACGCCCTGAAGCAAAGCAGTCAGCTGCATCCAAGGAAGCCTATCACTAAGTATTTGATGGGTGATAGATGCCATGTGTGTTATTTGGTAGGGTGACCAGACAGCAAATGTGAAAAAACAGGACGGGGGCAGGGGGTAATAGGCGCCTATATAAGAAAAAGTCCCAAAAAACGGAACTGTCCCTTTAAAAACGGGCCATCTGGTCACCCTAGTTATTTGGCCAACATTCGGTGCCCACATTCTCCATACTGCACATGTTAACAGAACATAACTGGCTCTTAGAGATAAGGACCCACAGTGCCTGTGTTAATACTGCACAATGGTGACAGTATCTAAGGGCCTTCCGTTTATGAGATAACACAGTATGCGTTATCTCATGGAGAAATGGTGCTTCAGCTAATGCCAGGGCTCTGGGGCACTCCTTGTTCTTTGCAGAGATTGTGTAATTTAGTTGAGTGTTTCACGCCTAGAAGTCTGATTCTGCAAAACAATAGTTTACCCCAAAATTAATCTGACCAGAAATGTTGCTGTCAGTTTGTATAACGATACCACTGCCGTCCCATTTTCTTTGGTGGAGTCGGTTGGAACAATAATCTGTCCAGCATCAGTTTTCTCTGAGCTTGAAGTCTAAAATGCAGGCTTCTACCTCTCTATCTACTAGAGCCGTGTTGTCTGAATCACTTCTACCTTCTTACCAAAGTCTGACATGTTCTTAGTGTAACATACTGGCAATGCACGTACGTACGTGTGTCTGTCTATCTCCTGCCAATTGCTGGTCCACTAAAGGAGAGCAACCTACTACTGCTGCCTGCAGAGACTTACTGTTTTAGCTCATGCTGTAGATACTTGTGCAGAAGGTGCCAGGTTCCTACTGTGCTGATGACCCATGTGGAAGTGGGGGTGTCATTATTACATTACAAAGTAACATCCGGATATTAAATTAGGAGTTTTTTCTCCAGAACTATATAAAAAAAGACAATAACCAATAGCCTGAAGTTAGGTCAACGATGAAAGCAGATGAAGTGGGAGAAGCTCAAGTCACTGCCCAGGGTCCTTTTCCATCTTGGCTTATCTCTCCCCTTCTGTCCCAATCTACTTCACTGAGGCTTACCCAGATAACTGTTCCTGCCGATCCTTTTGTTGTAACGCCACACCACTTCCAGCAGCACCATGGGGCATGGAGTATTCACAGGTCCCATTCACAGAGGGCTACCCCCACTACAGTGCCACGAAGAGTCTGGCCCTATCTCTGCCACAAGTACATTTTTCAAGCCACAGCTCTGCAGCACAGTAGACTTCTGATCCCCTTGCTTATCTGGGCTAGCACTGACTTCAAGGAGCCTATTTGTGGAGTGAGGGCTTGTCCACCCTTGAAATGCACCACTGCAGTGTTTCAGCATAGACACTACCTCCGCTGCCAGGACTCAGGGGTTCTCCCATCGGCATAGGTAACCCACCCCCCCGAGTGACGGGAGCTAAGTTGATGGAAGAATTAACTATGTCATTCAGGAACGGGGATTTTTCACAGAGCTGGGTCAACCTAACTTTCTAGTGCAGACTAAGCCTAAGGGACCATTCAGTGTGAGTAAAGGGATCAGAATCTGGCCCTCTCATTGCAGCAAGTCAAGACTTTTATTGTAATCGCTCAGATTCCTGTTTGTCAAAGCACCTAGACTACAAAAGAGCCCACGGCCCACAGCCCTTGGCATCAGCAGTGTTTTAACACTTAAAGAAAAACAACCGTCTGGCCCCTGCTGAGGAAGGGTGGACAGGTGCCCAGCTGTTTGTTCTGACACCGCTGGAATAACAGGAAGTTCTGTTGTAACAATGATTCCCAGGGCCCTGGGAGAGTGAAATGCTTTCTGTGCAGCTGGGGAGGACACGGGGGTCCTGAGAGAAGTCAGTTACAGGTTTTATCCCTACAGAGAGAGGGAGAACGGGACAGCGGATACTTGACTGCAGCATACACACAATGGTCTATCGGACACACACACCTCTCACAGGTTTCTCATGAGGTCATGATAACCACAAGGACAAAGCTTTTGTGGGGGCCATTGTGATGAGGGCCCTGAGAGGTGTGTGCCGTAGAAGTCTATTCATGATTTTCCTGTGCTGCTTTGTACAGAGATCGCCCGGGCTCCTAGGTTCCACACTCGACTGTGTGACTTTGAGTAAGCCACCTCACTTCTAGTCCCCTCCCACCCCCCCGAAACGTGTTTAGTAACACACACTTGCCTACCACACAGAGACTGTGAGACGTTGCTGATTAATTTAACGAAGCATTTTGGGATCCTTGTCTGAAAGGCACTGAAAGCAAGCTAAGAACAGGTGTGCTCCTTAAACTCCCTGCAACAGCTCCTCACACTCAGGGCTAGTTTGATGTTCCAAAGCCTTGGACCTCCTGCCCTGACACAGTAGCTCCTCTTCGTGGCCCTGGAAGATCTCGCCTTTCCTCACAGGCATCAGGTGTGTCAGCCTTGTGCAAAGAGCAGATGGAAGCCCCCGAAGCAAAGGCTAGCGGCAGAAGATGTTTTTATTTCAGCTTCCAACTTCAGGTGCCATAGATACTTTATTTGCAGCACAGAAAGCCTGGTCTCGTGGGGCTGAGAGCCAGGCAATCTGGGATCTGTTACCCACTCTGCTGCAGTCTCTCTGGGTGACCTTGGGCAAGTCACCGCCTTGCTCTGTGCTTCAGTCTTCCCATCTGCAAAATGGGGGATACTGATATTTCAGAAGGATGAGGGAGGCTTCAGTTCATGGATCACTGCAAAGTGCTTTGAGATCTGCTGGAGCACCGCCTGGCATTCAATACAAGGTGTCCCAGAGAGCAGGGACATTCATGTATCCGTGCTCCGGATTGAGTCTCGAATACAAAGGCTTTTGACTGTAAGTGCAGCCAATTTCTGGAGAGTGTTGGATCAAACAGCCCAGTTGGGACAGTTAGAAGGCAGATCAGTATATTGTGATACAGCATGGCCAGAGGGCAGCAGGGGAGCGTTAGAAGGGAGCCTTATTCCCTGTAGAGGGAAGAAAGTTTGCTATAGATTAATTAGAGCACCTGAAGTCAGTCACCTGATAAACCCCCCTGCTTCAATCAGACAGGGGAAGGAGTTGGAGCAGAGAGGATTGGTGTTGGAACAGAGAACAGTTTGAAGGAGTAGAAACAGA